AACCCTAACCCTAACCCTTACCTTTATGTGAATCGGCTTGCTTTAATTTTATTTTTATTTCGATTTTTATTTTTTTTTGTCACGCTGTGATGACGTCAAATGCGCGCTTTCGTCGATCGCGGTTTTGTGGACCGTGGTTTTGACGGGTCACGCAAAATATACAAACAGGTAGCTCAATTATGTGCACCACAGCAACTGCACACATAACAGAAGCTTGATCCAATTCAAAATGTTGATTGTTGGGAGTGAAACAATGAAAACTATTTATTAAATTAAAATAGGTGAAATGAATGGACTACAGAACTAGTTTTTAGAACAAAGATATATTAGATATAAGATACAGGAATATTTTGTAAATACTGCAAATAGGAATGCTTATCAACACGCTATCAATAAATCAACATTTATTTTAGAAAATTTTAAAAACGAAGTTTATTGTGTAGAAATTGATTCAGAAGAACCCTTATCTGCCTTGAATTGGGTTAATTTCTTCCATTCTTAAAAATCCATCTTCATAGATCTATTCTGCTACCAAGATAAAATGGGGCGAGGGGGAAGGAACCAAAATGCCATTGACTTTAGTGCAAATTCTAGAGTACGTATATTAGAGACAACTTTATACGTTAGTTTCTAGGCCTAGCAAACGTCCCATTCTTTCCATGTTTTTGTCAATTGTGGCTTGACATGTGATCTCCTTGGCACATTCCATTGGAAACCAGCCTCTTTCTCCATCACGCAATCGTTCTCCTTCATACCAACCTGCGATGAAGTGCAAAAGGATTAAACACATTACAAGCCACCATAAGGATAAAGAAACCTGCAGATCCAATAGAGCTCTACTGAGTTTAATATTGCATTTAATATATGCAGCTGGGTTCCCAAAGACCATTAATTTAATAAAACTTTTGTGTATTACTACACCCTCAGGGTAATTAGTGATAGTCAATGATTTACTAAAAATGGATAGGGAGCTTGCACCCTTTGATGCCCAAAACTAGCCACTATGAATTTCCAAGCTCTGCTGCACAAGTACATCCAGGACTGCATCAGCTCTACTTTACCTGCACCTTTTTTTTTCTTTCAAGGAAAGGACAATAGAAAAGTAAATGTAGCATAATCACCAGGAGCTAAAATGATGTCTTTATCTCTCACCATTTATCTGGTTAATATCTTCCTTTGGAGAGAAGAGATAGAACTCTCTCTTTTTTTCTATCAGTGGATAAGGGAAGCAGTGGCCTTGCATTTCCAAGCAGAAAGAAATGAATAATTTCAAAGGGTAAAGTTTAATGGACATGCTGATATAATTATGTTAAACCCTGATCCCCCTTGGACTCCTATATCAAAGATTTGATTGATTTTGATTTGATTTTATTATATTTATATGCTGCCCTTTTCCCCAGAAGGGGACTCAGGGCGGCTCACAATTCAAATCAGGGAAGGGGAGTAAGTTAAAAAGTCCCCAGTAGAAAGTCAACCAAAAGTCTG